CGAGGGGCGGGTGAAATGTAACCGTAGGAATGGAATTATTCGCCTTCGATCAATCAAACCATAGAACATTGAACGGGATATATAATACTGAGTAGGTTATTCTCAAGATGTTGATCGGGTTTTGTGACCAAAAGTTGCTCAGAGCTAGAATTCAATCCTAAGGAAGATGTTCTATGTTCTTTAACATGTTTCTATGGTGAAATGTGTTTGTCTTGACCTACAAACACCTATATTATACCTATAGGAATAACGCTATATACAAGTGTCCAGAGAGTTACGGAACACCCTGTATATCATGCTTCTCCACACCAATGATGTTTTACTGATGTGCGATTTAATTTTTTTATTGCTAAATAGGCTATACTTTTTTAACTGAAGTCAGTGGCAATTTCGGTAAGCTACATGTGTGATGGCATTGGCTTCGCTATACATAGGTATCCAACTCCATTACCTCTAGAGGGATAGATAAATTGTTTGTCACATCCTGATCTGTCCCCTCACACTGCCAATCTAACATATTTACCGAGGGACGTCCATGAAGCCTGATGTCTATCAGAAATTTGCAGCTTCCATAAAAACATTTCCGAATTGAATTTTTCATTTAAAATCTTAAGAATAGATATTATTTGAGGATAGCCGTATCGACGAACCCTTACCCAACTCAGTAACGTATTTCAGGGTTGCATTCAAACACAATTTTAGGAATTAGCATCTTAAGACACGGTCCTTAATTTTTCGAAAATTTGTATCCTTTCAAAGCTCTCTTTGATAAATTGTTATTTATATGTTTGTTTTCGTTTTCGTACAATGCCTCTTTACGATCAGCAAAACGATATAAGATATTTTTACTAAAATTTTTTTAGTTATTATTTAACAATAATGCACCGAGTTTACTAAATCAATTTCACTAAAATCGAATAGTGAAAAAAGAGTAAATTTGGAGGCTTGCAACCATTCAAGCTTTAGGCCTATCGAAAGACTGGTTCCCCTCTTCTACAGATTTTTGTTGACAAAATAATTATACAGATTTAGTACAAAATACACTTCACCACTTAACAATTTTTTTCCTCAGAAAGTCTCAGAAAAATCACACACTTCTTCAACCTTTCGTCAAGAGCTCACTTACAATTAATAAACTAATGAAACTGTTTCAAAATACAGCAGACCCGCAAATTTAGGACGAAAGCCTTCATTATCATTGAACAGTTGGAAGGAAATTTATAAACCGTAGTACAAAGTGCACAGCTGATGAAAGAACAGTGTTAAACGAGTAGATAATCACTGTTGACCAGAAGGAAAGGGTGGGCGGAACTGTTATCAGTAGTGATAATGACAGTGGCCCAAAGTGATAAGGAACAAGTGGTGCCATCACGACTACCTAGTGTGATACTAACCCCAACTGACACACGAATCCAGCAACTCAAATGAGAATTTTTGTCAGTACAGTAAATCACAGGTATTATGAGGGACCGTTGAAAATGTCTACTAACTGTTGTAAGTGATAAGTGAAAAGTGGTACAATCACAGATACTGTACCTAGTACGACCATAGAGCTAGAGCACATAATGTGCTCTATGAGTACGACTGTTTACAAGGAATCATAATTAGCACATCCTTGTTTACAAAATAACAGTTTGATTCGCTGGTCGATGCAACTAATATTATGTGAGACCACGGAAGATGCCCAAAAATAATCGTCTCAGCAGTTTGTGTCACTTGAAGAATTGCGACCTGGTAGCTATGAGTGGCGACAAGTGGTCCTAGAAGTTGCTCAAGTGATGAACGCGGTCAAGTGAACAGCTGACCAGCTACAAGTCGATAAGTGGGCAAACTATGTTCTCTGCACTTGCTCGAGTTATACATTATGTTACTGTTCTGTTGCAAATCATTAAAAATAAACATATTTTTTTCGTAGCATCTTTTCTTTATCATTGAATGTACACATAACATTATTTAGTATTATCAATGCTCGTGAGGATAAACAATCAAGACATATACCAACTTTTTAACTTGTAATAATAAGTTTAGTAAATTTCTGAACATCTAAAATTATAGGGAGCCTATTAGGCATATATTTGACTTTTTTCGTGCCTTATCTTTGAATACCGTATAGTTTACCACTGGATCAAACCAGGGAAATTAGAACAAAATATTTATGTTTTCTAAAACTAGTGGATTGAACTGTGCCTCGGATAAAAAGTCAAGCAAATAACTTAAGCGTAAATAAACAACTCTTGGTTTTTAGTAGACTGTATACAACTAGCCTACATACAAATTTGTTCTAAAACCCCCCACCGATAAATATTGATGAAATTGACGTGTAGCACATAAGTTGATCGTAACATAAACTACTACATCTGCAACCACATAGGTTTAACGTGTCTCACATAAGCCGCCACCTGTATCAGGAACGGGCAACAATATTGAAGCCGCGTACAAACTACCTCTGTCGCGTGACTTGGGGATTTTACCAGGTTATTTTGCGGCTCCGAATTATGACACGACGCAGTCAGTATTGAGTTTTAGCATTTGTGTCGCGGAAACAAAAATCTACTGTTTGCCTTAGAAATCAAGACGGAAGATCATAACTTCAGGATACGAACAGGATTGTATCTTCGCTAGTAAAGCGACATGAAAATGTTTACAGTATAAACTAACGAAACTGTTTATCAAAATCCAATAAAAACCGCAAATTAAAGACGAAAGCCCCTATTATCATTGACGCAGATAACGGAGTAGGTATTTCATGTACCGTACTGAAATACTTAGGCCTATACCAACGATCTACAATATGTGGTTTTTATAATTCAAAACTTAAATATTATCGATTTGTTGATAGATTTGTACAAACATTATCGTGTGCAGAATGGAATTACGGTAACGGCTTTTAATGCAAGGAGCTCTCTGATACAGCGAAAATTCTCCTGGGTTGATAGACATAGTTACAGTACGGTCTTAGATTTCCAGAAACACCGGGTCTCAACAATTTTACATAGCTCAAAATCATTATTGAGAATCGTCAATTTGAATATGAATCACCATACAGGACGGAATGAAAAAACTGCCCCACTGGATTAGACCTAGGGACTATGTTTTATCTGATTAGACTTATCTATGATTAGACTCAACCCAATCTATAAGCTAAAGTTAGGAACTTTGTTGGAAGTCATGCTATGTATTAATCATGGTTAGCTGTGTATGATGGGATTTATCAAGGTACGTAATGAGAAGTTTTCATACTATACACAGTATTAATACTACGGTATAATATACGCAATAATAAGTAAATAGCGATACAATTGAACCTTGAAGAAAACTTAAAAGCCAAATCAAAGATCATTCATAGAGGCAATTGTATGATAAAGAATCAGACGTGTGCTCATTACGGTACACATCTCCATAGACTAGGGAACAAAAGTTTTGTTCAAAATTTCAAAATTTTTGTGTTGTAAATGGCAATACTTGGGCACCGATACATGATCAAATGATCTAAGTGACGTATTTGGCCGATCATTAGAACCAAATAATGAAAAAGATTACATGTACCATTACCAAACAAGTATGCCTCCATCAGTATAAAGCAAGGTCACTAATGTTTTTCATGTCGCCTTTGAACAGAACCAGTTTCCGCGGTGACAGAAAGGTCGCTCCGTTTTTAAACTTGAACACCTTGAATCCGCCTCAATTAAGGGGCGTTTAAATGTGAGAGCAGATCCAACAAAAAACTTATAAGATAAATCTTATTTCAATAGAATTGCCAGACGGATTATCTTACAAAATTTCAGTAAGATACATACAAACGTAAACAGGACCTATTTGTTCGGGTTCGGCGTTATCTGAAACGATTCAAACCGCCAGTTTGGATTACTTCTGATGACTAGTTTGAATAATTCTGAAAAGAGCTCAAACAAGTAAATTAACATTTTACAACAAATCTTATCTTATCGACTTTGCACAATTTATTTATCATCTACGGAGCGATAACCGTAATTTCTCATTTCCCATGATACTACAGTATTTCACAAATGGGTGTCAGTGTGGTCAAAGTTTTACTGTAATTTATCTTTATAATGTAGAATGTTGGGTGCTAACAACCGGAGCCTGATAACGGACGTAAACCGGTTTAGAGATAGTACTTCCTTTCGCCTTTCCACAGACGATAACAACATCTACCACAACTTCCACCGTTTTCGAATTACTCCCGGAGTCCACAAGTTAACTTAATGCACACTTTAAAACTTTTTTTCTAAAACACAAACCATACCTACTTTTACTTAACCATTACATAGGCTAATTATTAGCTTAATCTAATCAGGAATGGTAAATTGCAAACATATCAATATATCCGTTGAGCCCTGATTTCTGTGATTACAAATAGCTACTGCCTATAATCAACTTCATCACATATCCTCGAGATCTACTTGTATTCTACTTTCTTTCGCATAAATTGGCCGTGGTATTCAGTGCGAAACTTGTTGGTATGCGACGGTCGTGCATGGACTCCCTCACTCACCACTTTATGGCGTAGGTTGCTAATGACTCACGGTGTGTTATGATCGATAAGGGAAGAAACCCCAACAGGGGTTTTGAAAGTTTACAACTTCGTCGGTAGCTCCAGCCCTAGACCCATATTGATTGGGCCCATGCCAGCTCTGCATGCACGTTGTCAGCTTATAAACAACACTGGATTATACCGTCTTCCCCCCTGTAACCTAACGAAACAATCTTTTGAATTATCATTAAAAAAGTTGACAACGTACACGACGTTTACATTATTCAAACAGCTAGGGGTCACGTTTAAATTCTTCTCATCATCACTACCCCTCGGCTTCATTTATAATGTTCTGTGAACACCATCCATAAAGTCAAAAGCGTCAACTTGAAGAGTAACTTAACCTAAATTATCCGTCGTTCTAATAATATTTACAATTATATTTGATTAACTTACTAATGACATTATAATTACTTACATCTTTACAGTTAACAAACAACGGGCTTACCTTTATTCTTGCTTGATGGATTTTCAACAGAAGAGAAACAAAGGCAGCAATCAAAACTACAATAACACTGTCCCTCCGTTTGAAAACAATCAACGGCAGACGGTCAGAAATGGTTGACAAAGCTGGAAATCGTTTACAACTGTTAATAAGCACGTCCAACTTTATAGAAATACAAGAATTACGTTAAATCCTGACAATTTTAAGTGAACAAACTTCAAAATATTCACTGAAAATGTCTAACCGGAGATAAATAATATAACCTAACCTCAAACACGAACGAGCGAATGATACCAACCGCACGAAAGGGAGAAGAGAACTGATGAATTTTCGCCACAGGAAGCAGCACTGCGCTGCGGCACGGCAGTCCTGCCAACCTTGTAGTTTCAGGAATAACCACCTGGATCGTTGTGGTCAGCGTTGGTTGTCATAGCAACTAGCGACGTTGATTATCTCATTCATGAAAATATTGAAGTAATAACAATGATGAGTTGCCGCGCTTTTTATGATTAAATCCGCGCAATAAAGCTTTGCTTGTGTTGCATTTACGGCATAATTTAATGTAGGGGTTGGATTATACAAGTTGCATAAATCAAGTTAAGAAACGTATATAGACTCAACTATCGTAATCTCTTATTATAAAAGTGCATCCGCTTACGAGTCCCTTTTATTTAAACTTGTAGGTAATTTTGTTTTCTGAAATAATTTTGAATGTGTTTGAGAGTGAACGGTTCAAACCTTTGATCCAATAGTCAATGATTCAAATTCAAACTCTTATGGCAATGTTGTTTTTACCATTTAAATCTCTGGAAGCCTTCAAAATAACTAACCCTTACTGGGATTTATGTTTAACATATTGAATTTCAATACCACTTTAACTGATGAAACATATTTATGAAAAATAATAACGGGATTTTACAGCTTCTTTATATGCAATTATGATGGTTAAATCGATTTAAATTAAAGGTAATTGATTAGTGTATTTGAGTATATTGTAATATATTTCTTGCTAATTTTAACCATTCAAAAGTATTTTAAACACTGATTCGCACCAGAGTGAATATTTTGTGAATTTTGTAATTTACTGTATTTAAAAATACCGTAGTAGGTTCTACTCTGACCATTTAAATGTTTAAATTTCTCAACGTGAGAAATACAGTAGGTAGGGCTACGGTATACAGGTAAAATACCCCCGCCGCAGCAAACCTGACGCCTAAGCGAATTTCCATTTGGCTGAATTGATTTTCAATTGATCTATTTAAATAACATTAGGTTTAACCTAGGTTTGCTGCTACAAGGAAACTAATAAAGTGTGTGTTTCAAGTAAAATAATTATTGCTTAGTATAAAATGAATATATTTGCCAAGTTTGATCAAAAGATATCCATAAACAAGCAAACTACAACATTTTACAATATTCTCCATAAGAATAACATGGGAATTTAAAATTTACCATTTTTTTAGTTTTATCCGTAGCCAATAACCGTACAAAAACACTTTGATATACTGAATTGTTTGTTTTTTTAAGCTCTTTAAGAAGGTTTAGAGAAAAATTGGGAAATTTTGTGTTTTGAGGGTCAAAAGTGAGAAAAACCAATTTTTACCCCATAAAACCCCCCATAAAACCCTGTTCCCATGGTCCGATCATGCTGGATCGCGAACTCATTCAAGTTTATCCCGCCTTACACCTTCAAACCAAATTTCATCAAAATCGGATAAAAATTACTCAAGTTATCGTGTTCACGGACACATATATATATATATATATATATACATATATAAAAATTTGAACCAGTGGTGTTTTTGGCCTCTGGGGACATCAAAATGAAAAAGTAAATCGGTCCCGGGCCTAAGTCTTACCATGAGACCTACGGTAATAGCTACTTCCCTATAGGGAAATTCGCTAAAATCAGTGAGATCAACTTACTCAGTAAGAGATCAATTTAGGCCACTTTTGATCAATAATTTTGTGCAATTGGTCAAAACATTAAATTGTTGTATTCATCTGAAATTATTTGTTCGTTTACCAACTTTGTTAGTTGCTTTTTTTTACAAAACTTAGCAGGATGTATACAGCAGTTCAATCACAGCTCTTCTAGACCTGTCTTAATTACTCTGACGAATTACTTGGTTGTTTTTTACTATTTTGACGAAGTTAAGAATCCTTGAGTGATGTAATCCTTAAACCGAGATTGATGAGAGTAAGGATGAGGATTACTCAGCGCCATCCTAAACCTTGGTGGGCGAAGGACATGCCCTGAGGTCCTGACTCCTGAATGATGTCATAATTCGTAACCAAAGTGTTATCCGAATACAACTGTTGCTACGCAGTAACGAGTATGTGTTACCTCAAAATCCATACTTACAATTAAGATCTTCAAGAAGAACTGGTAATATTGGAATGAATATAAACTTTAACTATAAACTTCACCAATATTTTCAGAATTTTTAATTTCATGAGGCCTTTACTGGCATCATCAGACACATCACAAAACTGAAGGTTATGTTTATGTTTAAAAATACAATGATAAATTTTAAAGAATGTAACATATGGGTAGTTAAAAATAAAAAATAATTCTGTTAAGTAGGCCTACATTTAGCTAAAATTACAAAAATAAATTATGTATGAATAAAAATGAAATATAAAGTAGAATTAACTTATAACTTTGTAAATTTAGAATTTAGTAATGTTACATTTTGAATTGGACCATTATCATTATTTACTAAATTTTCCATTTTATTTATAAATAATGATTCCCATGCATTTAGTTCATTAGATTTTGTTACATTTTTTTGTAATTTAGTATTTTTGATTGATATTGTGTGGTCCGTTTCTAAACAATGTTTTGCTATTGCTGATTTTCAAGTCTATTGTGTGTTATGTGAGAAGAGTGTTCTTTGAATCCAGTTTTTACATTTTTTTTGTTAGCCCAAAATACTTCATCTCACAACTGTCACACTGAATTTGATGAATGCCAATTTTTTTTGTATTTTATAATTTACTTTTTGGATTTCCAAGAATATTTTAAATTTTGTTTTTTGCCTTAAATGAGACCAATAATTCGGCATTTTTCTGAAACGTTTTCTTGATGTCTTTATATTGTTTAGTTTAGGTAGTGGTAGTGCTTACCCATTTTTTCTTTACGTTGATTGTTTCCAGTTTAGTTCTTTTCTTTTTGTAATTTATTTTTAAAGCTTTGGTCAACATATCGTCCACAATTTTGGTATCATATCCATTATACTTAGCCACGTCTTTATGTAGTTTAGTTCTTTATTATAATTTTCTTGGGACAGTGGGGTATTTAAGAGGCGATGAATCATTGAATTAAAAGATGATCTTTTCTGTTCTAGAGGGTGATAAGAATCTTGAATGTTAAACCTATTGGTGTACGCCTGATTTTAATAAGGTATCAATACATTGAAAGAATGAAAAAAATCAGTACAGCTGAGGTGTTTTTAACGTTAGGTACACAGAAAGTTCCCTTTAGAAAGGAATTACGACCAGGGCAATTTATGAAATAAATGGATAGTTTTGCGCAAGGTTTCTCGTCATGAGGAACATATATAGTTTATGGGGGTGTGACTTGTAGTTTTTTCAAAAGTCCATTGGTACTTTGGGATTTATTTATGGATATTCAAAGTAAGGCATTCACGTTCACAATCACTAACACTACTACTTAATAATATGTTTTTTGTGTCCAACCGTGTTGGTGTTCCACCTAGTATTCCTATGTGGTCGGTCCCAGAAGAAGACTTAGTACCAAATCGTATAACTATTACAATACTGTAGTGCTATCCTAGTATTGCTAGTTATTGGACAGAATATAAGACAGATTGGAATCCAATAACAACAAACACATCAAATACTAATTACAGGCCCAAATTGGTTCAATCTCGTAAACAAGAATTTACCTCCTTGACAGTCTCCGTGGAAACTTCGTGTTGTGTATCGTGTATGTAATGTTAATCCCCACGTCTAGATAACCTATATAGGTGTTTCTACTAAATAATAGTTCATTTTAGTACAGCAAAAAGGTATGTGTTTGTGCAAACCTAACTAAGTGTTACGTATGATATATTCATTTTGCATGTCATTTTTTCGTACACGATCAAAAAATTCCACCGTTACTATTATTAAATTATGTTTGACGAGAAGATAGTACGGCAAGTTAGAATCGGGGTTTTACTTATAATATTTTTTAAGTGCCTGTATAAAATATCAACTATAAAAATAAACACGTACGTCTCTTGCACTGTAGCTTAGACGCACTATCCCGTGTAATAATGGATTATGAATAGATCTATGTGTAAACTGTAAAGTACCAAATACTAAAATCAAATATGTTGACATTCTGCAATATAAATAGAACTTATAAAACATTTTCTTATTGTGTATTGCACCTGAGCCACACACATTAGGTTTTACCATAGACTAACCAACACACGTATTCTAATCTAAGGGAGAATGTTTTATGTACGGTTTTACTTGATAAATGTTCAAAGGCAAGAGAGTTTGTTGGGTTTGTAGGCACTTCCTTAATGTCAAGGTACCACAAAGAAACGTAACGTAAACAACGCAGGTCTAAAGTCAGTACGGCTCCCAGATGATACTTGTTTTTGGTCTACCAATTATTGATGCTTTCTCAAAGGTCGTCATTAGGTAGTATTAAACTAGAGTTTTTGATCTTTAACTAAAAAATCTTCGGTGTTGAAACGCAAAAAGAACACCTTTGGATCACTCAAACCCCTTAATTTTGCAATATCTCGACTAGTAGGCATACTTACGAATCGCTCTCTCTCTCTCTCTCTCTCCCCCTCTCTCTCTCTCTCTCTCTCTCTCTCCCTCTCTCTCCACCTCTCTCTCTCTCTCTCTCTCCCCCCCCCTCTCTCTCTCTCTCTCTCTCTCTCTCCCTCATGGAGACAATTTTCCTCGCTAAGAGGTGTTAATCTCCTCATTTAAACTGTCAAAGATATCACATTTGCTACTATGGGCACCCTTACATAACCTTTTCATCGGCTTCCATTTGATCCTACATGCCACCAGAATGAATGACACATAAACAACAGTCTGACTTTCTTTTTGGTCTTTAATCAAAACACATCTAAAATCGCTATACAGGGTGATTGATATAAGTGTGCCAGCCGTTTTATTCGAAAACTATAAGAGATATCAAAAAAAGTTAAAAGGTAAGTGCCTTGGATTTTTTATAAAAAAAATTGTAGTCAAGTCAAAAAAATTATTTTAGCCGCCATTTTTCCAATATGGCCGCCAACTTTGATTTTTCTTATGGAACACCCTGTGTTTTATGATGTATTCTGGTAGA